GCTATGGGCAAAAAACCATGGGCTATAGCCTTGGGTATTTTTCAGGATTCTGGCGTTTTCTTAAAATGGCCATAACTTGAAAAATTGAAGTCGGAATCAACTCAAACTTGCTACACAGCATAAGTACATCAATATGTATCAGAAAATGTAATAAAAATTGGGGGTGCTTTTGGAGCCATTTTTTGGAAAAAATCATGGGCTATAGCCTTGGGTATTTTTCAGGATTCTGGCGTTTTCTTAAAATGGCCGTAACTTGAAAAATTGAAGTAGGAATCAACTCAAACTTGCTACACAGCATAAGTATATCAATATGTATCAGAAAATGTAATAAAAATTGGGGGTGTTTTCGGAGCCATTTTTTGAAAAAAATCATGGGCTGTAGCCTTGGGTACTTTTCAGGATTCTGACGTTTTCTTAAAATGGCCGTAACTTAAAAAATTGAAGTCGGAATCAACTTAAACATGCTACACAGCATAAGTACATCAATATGTATCAGAAAATGTAATAAAAATTGGGGGTGCTTTCAGAACCATTTTTTGGAAAAAACCATGGGCTATAGCCTTGGGTGTTTTAATTGGCCATTTAACTTGAAAATTGTGAGTCAGAAACATATATATTTTGAAATTATTTGCTACAAAAGAGCACTATGATTGCATTAATTTTATTTTCTTTTTTCTCATTCTTCTCCCTTTTCCTCTCTCTCTTTCTCCCTCACTTGATAAAAGGGTCTTCATTCTTCATAATGTCATCATACAGCTCTCTCGGGAGCCCTTGATATATACCACTGTTATTCATTATTATAAAAACAATCGGAAGCTTATACCTATAAAACAATAACAACAACAAAAATAATAATTATACAATTAATGTACATACATGAACATTATGTAAGTGCCATTATGTGTATAACAGATGTACAATATAATATACATACAATTATACATACATGCATTCCATGTACACTACATGTACATGTACCTGTATGCAGTTTCTATTTCCATTCCTGAGAATCCAAAAGCGCTATCACCTTGAATACAATAAACTGGAGTCTGAACAAAAAAAATAGCAATCAATTAATACACAGAAGGCTTTGACTAATTTTTGTTGTAACATGTCGCAAGTATTTATAAGTTACATGTACGCATACATTTAAAAAAACAAGCTCATATATTTACTTGTTTTTTAGATTTGTTTAAACTCGTAGTATATAAAGCAGCTGCTATGGCAAACCCAGTACCAACACCCATAGTACCAAATGTACCCGCATCTAATCTAAAAAAAGAAATGAAAATATAATTATACACATTTCAAACCCAGATGTCTTAATTAGTGTGTGTATGGACATGTACTGTACATAGGCAGCTACAGGCCTAGGCATTGGGGGTCATTGCCTAGGTTAAAAATTAAACCAGAAGCAGAAACAATGCTATTTAACCCTTTTACCACACCCCTTTAATTAGAAATGCCTAGGCTGAGTTGGACTTCTGCAGCCGCCAAAGCATGTACATGTATACAGTTGGAATTGCTAAATTGAATGAATAAATACTAAATTGATAGCAATTGGCAGTTTTTTTTAATTTAGCAAATTTGTGTCATGTACACATACATGTATACACAACTTAAAACCAATGTATATATATAATTGGACTAATGCAGCGTTTACAGTACATGTACATGTATTTATGGTTACCTGTGTCTAGGGAAGTGTGTTTTGACAACAGTCCTACCAATGTCCATTGTATTAGCTCCTTCATTCACTACAATAGCATCACGAGGTATGTAATCTGTTATCTGAGAGAGAAAGAGTAGGAGAGAGGGGGGGGGACAGTAAAAAAGGACAGGGAGAGAGAAAAAGGCAAAAAAGAAAGAATATAAAATGAGAGGAGAGAGAGAGAGGGGGGGTGAGAAAGAGAGATGGGAGGAGAGGGACATGGAGAGAGGGAAAGAGAGAGAGAATAATAAAAAAAGAAAAGGGAGAGTATCTATGTCCTCACTTGTTTATAAGCACAATAAAAGTTCATTGGGACACTTTCCTGACTAGCAAGTGACTAAAACAAATAATATAAATTATTATTATTAATAATAAATTTTTAATATGCAAGAACTCACTTGACTAAGTTTGGTATTATAATCAATTTTATTTCTTAAAGTGCTCCACCAGTTACCTAATGGATCAACACCTTTAAAGCCAATGTCACAAAGAGCATCCGATAACTGGAAAAAATAAAATAAATAATAATGTAAATAAAAAGTACATGTATAAGTACATGT